CCAATCCCATACCCCCACACCCCACCTCAGCCAATCCCATTTCCCCCCAAACCCTAAGATTCTACCAATCTCATACCCCCATATCCCACCTCAGCCAATCCCATTTTCCCCAAACCCTAAGATTCTACCAATCTCATACCCCCACACTCCCCTCAGCCAATCCCATTTCCCCCAAACCCTAAGATTCCACCAATCCCATACCCCCACACCCCACCTCAGCCAATCCCATCCTGGGAAAATTCAACACAACCTGCAGAGGGCGCTCCTACTCTAATCCAGCCACAATCCAGAGAGCCTCTCCAGCAGTTAACCTTCTGCCTAGGCAGTATTGTGGGGGACAGAAGCTGAGCTCAGGTCCCAGAGCTTTCAAAGAAACATAGAAAACAGGAGCAGGAGTAGGCCTTTTGAGTCTTTCTTTAAAATTTAATTATTTGTGGGATGTGGGAACCGCTGGCTGCCTAGCATTTACTGCCTGTCCCTAGCTGCCCTTAAGAAGGTGGTAACAAGGTGTAGAGCTGGATGAACACAGCAGGCCAAGCAGCATCAGAGGAGCAGGAAGACTCTGAAGAAGGGCCTAGCCCGAAATGTCAGTTTACTGTTCCTGCTTGGCCTGCTGTGTTCATCCAGCTCTACACCTTGTTATCTCAGATTCTCCAACGTCTGCAGTTCCTACTATCTCTTAAGAAGGTGGTGGTGAGCTGCTTTCTTGAACCAGTGTAGTCCATCTGCTGTAGATAGACCCACCTGTAGATAGGGAGGGAATTCACAATTTTGACCCAGTGACAGTGAAGGAAAGCAATATATTTCCAAGTCAGGATGGTGAGAGGTTTGGAGGGGAGCTTGCAGTGGGAGGTGGTGTTCCCATGTATCTGCTGCCCTTGTCCTTCTAGATGGAAGTGGTCGTGGATTTGGAAGCTGCTTTCTGAGGATCTTGGATGATTTCTGTTCCACCATTCTTTATGATCATGGTAGCTCTTCCAACTCACGGTGGCTCAAAGGTTAGCCCTGCTGCCTCACAGCACCAGGGACCCGGGTTCAATTCCACCCTTGGGCAACTGTCTGTGTGGGTTTCCTCCGGGTGCTCCGGTTTCCTCCCACAGTCCAAAGATCTGCAGGCTAGATGGATTGGCTACGCTAAATTGCCTGTAGTGTTCAGGGATGTGTAGCTTAGGTGGTGGGTTATGGGTCTGGGTGAGATGATCCAAGGGTCGGGGTGGACTTGTTGGGCTGAAGGGCCTGTTTCCACACTGTGGGGATTCTATGATTCTATTGCGCAGTCAGCCTTCAGGGAATCACACTCATCACTCACTCTGGTCGGGAAATATGGCTGGGCTTTTCTCACCAGCATCTTGTAGGGGTCTGAGTGATGTGAGCTATAGTCAGACTTGTGACTGAAGCAGGCTGGGGGGAAGGCGGGGATGACGGTTGTGAAGAGGGGCAACTGCACCTGTAAAGCGTGATGTGGTAAAGCACGGATGTGAATGGCTGTTACGGAGGTTGGGTAGTGGTGGGGGATAATGTCGGTGGAGGGGAGTACCCTGGTGCAATCTGAGGACAGTGCATGGCCACACCCGGCACGATTACCCTATATACCAGGAGCTGTGAGTGCAGGGGCAATGTGGGCAGGTGCAAGCTCATGTAGATGGGTTGGGTGGGACTTGGGGAGGTCTACAGCTTTACAGAACATCCTAGCAGGAAAGGGATCTGAATGCTGGGGGCCACCCTGATATGTAGAGATGCCACCTTCCCCTTCTCAGACATGTTGAGATTCTGACCTAGACTGAGCAGGGCAGATTCCCAATGCTGGTGCCCATCTGGGTGTATAATGGGCTTTTAAAGATGGTGCGGTGCCAGGCATGCTGGTCTTTCACCAGGTATCAGGTGACTGGTGGATTGTTCCGGAAACAGTGCATGGTAAAATGGAGATAGAATTGGACGTGAAGGTGGGATGGGTAGTTAATGAGCTGCGTCCAGTAAGATACAGTGAGAAATCTTGCTCAGTCTCACAATGCAAATCTCTGCAAAAGTCACACATATCTTGCACTTAGCTAAAAAAAGTAAGATTCAGCCCTATGTGTCTGATACTGTGCATCGCCCCATAAAGGAGACATATGGAGTAGGATAAGTGTTGCGAAGTTGGGTAAAGTACTTGTGAGTTGGAAGGCAGGACGTTAAAATTTGATGTTTGTAAAATATTAATGTTTATGAAATGATTGGGGCAAAATGCAGTGCATGGTCACTTTAAAAGATGATGTGCTTTTTCTAGGCTTGAAGAAAAAAAGTCTGTGAGCAGCATGTGGGTTTGCAGGTGCACAGAGCACCTGAATAGTATCATTTTTATCAAAAAGCTGGATGCTTGACAGAATCAAGCCCATGTTTTGTTTTGTTACGTTATCAAGACAAGTTTTGCTTTAGCCAATTCATTTAGACCAGGTCCTTACATGCCAAAAGCCAAGTAAATTTAAATCTAATGGTTTTGACAACATAGGACAAATCCTGTTGTTAGAAATTGATATGTCATCAAGGGTACAAAAGATGGGGACAGTTGCAAAATCGGCAGAGAGTAAACTGCCATCTACCAGAAGATCAGCTTTCTCAGTTCTTACAGAAAGCATCATCTAAGTAAAGGTACTGCAGCACTCTTAGTTAATATTACTGACAGAAGAATTCAACAGAGAAGGTGTTCCTGATAGAAGATCAATGGGGAAGGCGCAGAATATTCTTGAAGATGTAACCAGGCTGTGATTTCGAGAAACTAAGTTCTAATTTTTTTTTGGATTATATAAGTGGGTCTTGTACTTATTGAAATGGCATACTATTAGAATCTTGTTTTATTTGAGAATAGTTAGTAGTTAGAGGAGAACTGTTCAATTCTTTATAGCTAAGTTACTTTGTTCACTGTTAGATTTAGATAAATAAATTGTTACTTGTTGATTATAAAGTGAGTGTCAGGAGTCTATTTCATTTAACCACTCCTCTATAACAGGCTGGGATGAGAGGCAGGTTATACCACTTTTTACAGAGTATAGGGCGAGACAAGCCTCGCTGGGTGTTTCGGTTTTAGTTATCAGAGGGAGGGGGGTTCAACCTCTGCTTTATAACAGACTGGGGGCTCAGGTCCGGGATTTGGAGAAGTTGGGACAGATTAGATCTGGAATTTGAAAGGATTTGGATGGATCTAGACAGTTTTGGATAGATTTCAGGTAGGAAATGTCCCAGCAGATTTAAACAAACTTGGGGATTAGTATCCTAGATCTTTCAATAAAACTTAGATGAGAAGTGAAAAATCTGTTTAATTACAGTTGCTTGTTCCTGGTTAAATAAAAAGTGGGGAAATGGCTCTTAACGTTGCTAAAAAGCTTCTGGGGTTTGAGGATGCTCCCAAAATTGCCAAGAAAGTTTAGAGAGACAGAGAAAGGAGACACTTTCAGAATTAGGAAACATGGATTTCACTTGGGATAAGAGGAAAGCTGAAATTGTAAAGGAGTTAGTCAAGCATTTAGGTATACCAGAGAAACAGACAAGTGCAGTGGAGTTAGAAAAAATTAAATTGCAAATGAGACAATTGGAGTTAGAAGATAAAGAAGGGGAAAGAATGTCCCAGTTGGAAAAGATGAAGCAGTGTGAAAAAGAGAAAGAGAGAGAGTTTGAACTTTGGATGTTGCAAATTAGACAGGAAAGTCAATTTAAAAGGATGGAGATGATAGGTTACAAGATAGGTTTAGTGAGGAGGAGGAGAGTGATGATGAGCAAACCCATCGGAGCCAAAAACCTGCTAGGGATATATACAAATATGTCAAAACATTACCACAGTTCAATGAAAAAGCTGTAGAAACCTTTTTCATTTCCTTTGAGAAATTGGCAAAACAGATGAACTGCCCAGAGACTGTGTGGGTAATGTTAATTCAGACCAAGTTGGTAGGTAGGGCTAATGAGGTGTTTGCTGCACTGTCAGAGGAGGTGTCCAGAGACTATGAGCAAATGAAACAGGCTATTTCAAGTGCCTACAAATTGGAACCAGAAGCATATAGACAACGGTTCAGAAATATGAGAAAGGAATCAGGTCTGACTTATATCGAGTTTGAAAGAATTAAACAGAGCAACTTCAATAGATGGGTGAAAGCATTAAAGATAGAAAAGACATATGAGGATCTTAAAGAGATTATTCTGCTGGAGAAGTTTAAAAACTCACTTCCAGAAATGATAAGAACTCATGTTGAGGAACAGAAAGTTCAAACAGCGAGACGAGCTGCAGAGATGGTGGATGAATATGCATTAGTGCATAAATTGAAATTTAGCTTCCGACAGTAATTTCATTCCGGGAGGGATAGAAATTGGGAAAAAGGGAGATCCTTCAATGAAAAACAACAAGTAGATCACACTGGGAACAGTTTACCACGTGTGAAAAAAAGAAACGCAAGAGGTTAAGGATGTCAGGTGTTTTCACTGCAATAAGGTGGGACACACAAAGCCACAGTGAATTATAGAATCCCTGCAGTGTGAGAACAGGCCCTACAGCCCAACAAGTCCACACTGAACCTCAGAGCATCCCACCCAAACCCATCCCACTATAAACTCACCTAATCGACAAATCCGTGAACACTACAGGCAATTTAGCGTGGCCAATCCACCTAACCTGCACAGGGACCATGGGAGGAAACCCACACAGACACAGAGAGAATGTGCAAACTCCACAAAGACTGTCACCTGAGGGTGGAATCAAACCCGCATCCCTGGCGCTGTGAGGCAGCAGTGCTAACCACTGAGCCACCATGCTGGTGGATTAGGAGAGGCACTGGGAAAAGGGATGTAGTAAAAGAGCCTA